GGAACCCATATCCTAAACACTAAGAAACAAATCCATAAGTGACCCAGCAAACCGAGTCACATAAATAGCAAGCGAAACAGAACATCGACAATTCACTGGAAGTGCACTGATGATGTTACCTAGTATGTTGACGAAACGTCTGCGAACAAGCTTACCAGTTTGGCAAGCAAGTCAACAACCACTTTATCATGTTCTACATGAAATGTGACATAGGCCATTATTTGTGAATCAAAGTAGTTATTACATTAAAACACAGTTCCAATCTTCTTCTTCTTCCTTCCCTAATTCTATCAGCTTTTATAGATCGTAGCTCAGTGCAGGTATTCACACACATAGAAATCATCCAGGCTGGATTACAGCACAATGAACCACAGGACGTGGCATCATACTTAGAGCAGAAACAGGTCATTCAGGTCAACAGGTATATGCTGGTTTTAAATGCTCTGCATAGGCTTCCTGTCATCTTACTTCATCTCACTCTCTTTCTATTCTTTCTTCTCATATCCTTAGCTAAAAGTCCTCTTAAATAGAATAGAAATTAAAGATCATTCTGATGGGATTAAACTGTAATTTACTATCTTTATATTAATAAAACCAACAACAGAAAATGTTTCACTGAAAAGAAAATAGGAAAGAAATGAACAAACAAACTTTGTGTATTGTCATTCACACCGTTAGAAGATAAGATCTGGACATAGTGTTCACAGCAAGTGTGCTCTTTCGATATATCTTCAGGCAGATTGAACAAACACTAGATATGGCAAGGTCATGCATCAATCGATAAGTTGCTTTAGTTTACAGTGAGTGAACATAAAAAAACGACTGTACCTGATAAAACTTCAACAGAAAATTTTGACTTTTCATAATTCAAGAACAGGCTACCTTTGTCTATTCAATGTGTTGCCTCACTTTACTTTAAGTCTGTTCTGTTTTTTCTTAACTACTTTTTTGAGTCTGGCCAAAGATCTTGCAATTTGACTGGATCCTTATGCTGCTACTTCTCGTCATTCAAGAGACAATCACCTGTTCTAAGCTCTCAATCTATCAAACAACAATAATGTTATAAATATTTGGAATTTCTCTTAAACATTACCATGCTCATTGTTTGACGGTGTCTAAAAGGGCTCAAAACTCTAATCCCAATCAACTTGATTAACTTTCTTTGGACTTCAAAAGTATGAATTCAGAGCTGTGTTGAAAAAATGTGGCAAATACTGGAAATTGACCCCCTATGCTTATATGTAGACATATCAAAACATATGGTAATTCAAAACAGTTATTTAACCACCTGTAAAAGGGTGATAATTGAACTGTGCCCTTTAACTTGTTTGCTGGCATTGAATTAATTCACAGACACTGCAGTCATTGGCCTGGTAGCACTAACATGCTAATTCAGCTAAAATAGCATTTCTTTAGTCTCCCACAATGCTGGAACCCAGTCGTACAGAATTTTAAAAGAAGTAAAATTTATTTGGAACATTTAATATAGTAAAACATTGCTGAGGCTCCACAGAAATGCCATCACATAGATTTGTAACCCAGCCAGAGATAGTTGAACAAGTGAGGTATTGAGGAGTGAGGTAGAGTGGTTTAAGGAGGAAATTCCAGAACCTTTCTCCACTTTTATTCTCTTCATCCAAACTCTATCTACCTTAAACCTCTTCAATGCCTAAAAGGAGATAGCATTGATGATTCTTTTTTAAAACTAAAAACCAGAATTGAAGTTCGCAGTGTTAACTACTTCAGAATAATGTTCTGCACCAATTGATGTGGTCCCACTCACTTTAATTATGATAAGCATGAAAGAATATTAAATATTTTCAAGCAAATAGAACTAGAATCTCACATTGCTAGGTGACTAAATTTTGCTTTTCTAAATGCCAAACAACATGGGCTTAATCCCTTTAAATGACAGGTCACCAATTTGACCAAAATAAATGCTAGGATCATCCCTTTTTTAAAAAATATATTGTGGCACTGGGGTGTTGTTAGTTCTATACTCACCCACAAGCTACATATGGTTTTAATCTGTCTAGCATTTCCTGGGTAACTATCCAAGTATATACACTGACACAATCAGAAATCTCCAACTCAAGAGTTGGAGGCTTTTCACAGAGTCCTGGGAAGCAGGGGAATTGTTCATTGGAAGGGAATATTTCCCAGGCAATTCCCTTGGAATCAGCACAATGGAGTTAGTTAGACATCTAAAGTCCCAGCAGGCATCTAGGGGTTCTGATGATGCAAAGCTGAGAAGATTTGGGTCATGGGGTTTAATCTGTATAACTTTTGCCGGATAGCTATCCAAGCACATAAGACAGAAGGTTCCAAAGTCACCTACTCAGAGTTGGAAACATTTTGGAGGCTGTTGACAATCCTGGAACTGGAAAATCTGGGCTACTGGTTCACCTGTAACCAAGACTCTATGTACAAGGCCAACAGCAGCTGAAAGAGTTAATGATATTTAGAAGAAAGCTCTGCCAAAAGCAATATGAAGGACTGTTTCTGGAAGGAGCTAGACAGTTGTCTCAAAGTCATGTGCCAGAGTGTTTCAGTAGCAGTGAAGTGTACTTTCTCTCAGGTACTGCCTGAGGCCTTGCAAGGATCTCTTATATATCTCAACTGGAAAAGCTCAGCCAGTCTCGCAGCATCTGTGAAGAAAAATCAGAGTTAACGTTTCGGGTCCAGTGACCCCTCCTCAGAACTAAAGTCCGCAGTTCTTTCAGTTTTTAATCAGATGTGATGTAACTGGCTATTAAACTTTGGAATAATGTCATTACACTTATAAAAACAGACATTGCTAGGAAAGCTCAGCAGGTCTGGCAGCATCTGTGGAGAAAAAAATTCAGAGTTAACGTTTTGTGTCTGTTCGGTCTTCATCAGAACATCAGACCCGAAATGTTAACTCTGATTTTTTATCCACAGATGCTGCCAGACTTGCTGATCTTTTCTAGCAACGTCTGTTTTTGTTCCTGATTTACAGCATCTGCAGTTTTTCGGTTGTTAGTTATTATACTTACCACCACCAAACCGATGTTCTGTCAAAGACTTTGATTGAGCACCCATTCCTGTTTGATCCCAGTAATCTAGACTACTATCAAGGGGATTGGTGACAGTGAATCCACCCAAGGAATCACAGATTGTTCTGGTGGACATGACCATAACTTATAGCAGAAGCTAACAGCAATAAACTGACCATTTTATGTCTGAAGGCCTTTATATATCAATACAGATTGGTCAAGTAATTTAACTTCATAACTTGTGTGAAGTATGCTTCTAAAAACCGAATAAATATTCATTAAAACTGGTATAACTGTAACCAACATTAGCATTTCTGAGGGATTTAATCAATACAACTAAATCACAGTAGCCTAGAAAGGCACAACAGCAGAAAAAGAGGACTTTTTGTTTAAATTATGTTTTCTGCCTTAGTGGTGTACAATATTGAGTTTCAACTGCATTTTTTTGTACAGTGTATGGGTAACGATGAGTGAGATTTTATTTTGTTTTTAGCTTTGTGAGCTGAACTTTCAGGCCACCCAGTCTAAATCAATAAAACAACTACATTAGAAAGTTTAAAAAAAAGATTTCAACAGTTAGGTGAGTAAATACTTATATTGATGCATGATAGGTAGACTGATTTATTGTACTTAACATTGTAGACACCACTGAATTGCTATAGTCTATTGCTGCAGAGAAACATATTATGCTGTGGTGCTTCTGCCCTCCAGTGGATTGAAGGTAAATCTCTTACAGAACATCTCATTAATGATGTGAAACGATGCAAACTGCAGCTTCCTTTCAAATCCAAAATTGGTCTTTACAACTAGTTCAGAAATTACTGAACAAATTACACACAACCACAGAAATCAGCTAACATTTACATTGCATCTAACTTTCCAATGTCTGTCCACTATCTTCTACAAGGCAAAGTGAACAGCATGATGGAATACTTGACCCTTGCCTGGATTAGTGCTCCAATAACATGCAAGATTTTTGACACCATCAAGAGAAAGCATCCTGTTCTTATCAGTAAAGACAGAGTTCAGTGAAATAACTGTTGGGAATCAAGGTCTTCAGTTTAAACTCTTGTTTCAGTATTTTCTTTCACTGGCAACAGATTCAGCAAGATGAGGGATTTCTGAATTACGCACATGTGAAATATTAACTTATGCCAGGATAAACTGCCATAAAAGATGCATTGTTCAGTTGAAAACTAAAACATTGTACTGGAATACCCTTCCAGATACACTTCAATTCATACAGATATTTTCAAAGGAGTGCATATAATCTGGACATGATTACTGATTCTTAATTTATGTTATGAAATTTGGGAATTACTGAAAGAGCTCACATTTGTTGTCCATCCTTAAGTGGCCTTGAATTAGTTTCGCCATTCCAGAGGGGAGTTAAAAGTCAACCACACTGCTGCAGGTCTGGCGTGACATGTAGGTCACACTGGATAAAGACAGCAAATTTCCTTCCATAAATTCAGATGTATTTTCAAGATATTTTTAAGACTAGTTTTCCATTCTAAACGTATTAAACAAATTTAAATTCTAACAGTTGCCATGGTGGGATTTTGAACCAGTGTCCCTAGGGATTAGCCTGGGCCTCTGGAATACTCATTCAGAAGCATCACCACTGCACCACCAGCTCCTCCAATAAGGATGAGTGAAATGCTGGGCAACATTCTTCTTGTATTTAACAAGATCCATCAATAGGTTTGCAACCACTTAATTTTCTAATGTTTAATGGTGCCTTTTCTGTGAGCTTCACTAACATTTAGCCACTTTTCACTAGTTGAATGACCCTTGAAAGCTCAATCATGTAAGGAACATATATACTTGGCTCTTCACAATATGCTAGGTATAATGAAAATATGACTTGCACTGCAGTGCATATTCCAAATTTTGTCAAATTTATAGACACCTAAAATGAGAGCAACTCACATCTGCCTGTCTTAATTCTTCCGTAGCTAGAATTTAGGGTTATTTCCTCACCTGATGGAAGGAATTTCAGCTGATTGTTGGCCAATCGCAGGTGTCGTAAAGATTTCAACCGACCAATCTCAGGACAGAGAATTGCCAATGCATTATTACTAAGATCCAATGACTGAAGTTTAACCAAAGCGCCAATTGCTAGTAAGGAGGAAAATTAAAAAGTTATCATTCCAAGAAGTCAAGCTCAATTCAGAACACATATTCTGGATATTCAACAGCGTATAATACAGAATCTTTTCTTACTATATGGAAACTATTTATTAGTTGTAGCACTTACCCAGTATCATTACACTTCTTAGAAGAAACAAAACACATGACTCTGCATACAGTTTAGTTGCAGTACATTGAAGTATGACATTGCACAATACACGAGCACAAAAACAGAACTTTAAACTCTCCCAGAAACTTTTAACAACGGGAAACAGCAATGACTCATCTGACTATTGCTGTCACGCTTAAATTATAATCTTATGAATGCTTTTAGTCTGGGATACAGAAAAATCACAAACACTTGTGTTCAAGTTACGGTCTGTCACTCGGACCCATTATATTCTTTATCTTCCAAGTTTAAACAAAACCCGTTTGAAGACAATCACAATCAGAAACCTTCAGGAACAGGTCTGTTACAATATCAATATCTATGAGCAAACTTCACAGACTTCATTTTATTAGGAAAAGACTGTAGCATTTCTTTAAGGGATAATGTAAATGCCATATTAAGTATTAGAGAAATAGAACTGCAAGCCCCATCACAACATTTCTTACTCTATATCAGGTCACTACAACAGATATTTTTAATCAATCTGTTTAGACATGTTACCACACACCTTTGGAGCAGGCTTGCTTCGGCTCAGAGGTACTACTACACCACAAGAGCTCCCCACAGATCACTGTCATAACTCTCGACGTTAGATCACAAGGTGTGTCTTTGCTTGTCAGTGAGTGGAATGCGTCTGTTTCTATTAACCAATTGGCTTAAATGGGAATCAGATATGTTTTAAGATGTTTAAAAAAGTCTGCCCACAAGTTGATACTATAACATTTATCATATTTCAGAAGATGACCTCAATTGAACATAATCATGAAGTGAATGCATCATGTTTAATTATCCTCTCTCAAAGAAATGTAAGTGACTTCACAAGATTAGAAGGTAATTTAAATAAAATATAGCAATGTGAAAGTTGAACACATTCATGGGATATATTTTCCATTTATTGATGATCAACTCCATGTTCTGTACAGGTCCTGTGGTTTTATTTGACAAGTCTTTCCCATGGAATTGCAACCATTGCTTTTTAATAGAAAATACAAAAGAGTTACACCACTGTTTTTAATGATAGAAAAAATAAAGGACAGCAATTGTAACTTTAATTTTAAACCCATACCTACTGCCAGACTATGCTATACAAATACTCATCTATTAGATCACCTAACAGAACAAGTTTTCATTATTTTACTAGGTCACGATTTGTAGAAACTGCTATTTTATGAGTCTAATATATCAATAAACGTATGTATTGTATTGGATTGCTTCTGAACCTGCTTTGAAGAAATTAGACCATAAGATGTAGGAGCAGAAGTAGGTCATTCAGCCCATCAGGTCTGCTCTCCCATTCAATGAGATCTTGGCTGATCTGACAATCCTCAGCTTTTAATCCTCATTTTCCTGCTTTTCCCTATAACTTTCAATTGCTTTACTAAGTAAAAATCTGTCTGTCCTAGCCTTGAATGTACTTAACACCCAGTGCCTGACAGCCCTCTCTGGTAAAGAATTCCACCACCCTCTAAGAGAAATTCCTCTTCATCTCTGTCTTAAATGTGTGACCACTTATTCTGAGATTATGTACTCTAGACTATCCCATAATGAGAAACAACCTCTCCGCAGCAGTTAAATCCCCTAAGAATCTTGTACATCTCAACAAGGTTGAAATTTGAACAATGAGAGACAATGAGTACAGGCCTGATCTACTCAACATCTCCTCTTCAGACAGACCTTCCACACCTGGCATCAGCCTACTGAAACTTCTCTGGACTGCTGTCAAAGCCAGGATATCTTTCGCAAAACAGGCCCGAAACTGTTCACAACATTACAGTTGTGGTCTGAGTAATGCCTTGAATAGTCTTAGCAAAACCTCCCTACTTTTAACATTCCATTCCCTTTGAAATAAAGGCCAACATTCCATGCGCTTTCCCCATTACTTGCTGAACTTGGATGCTAGCTTTTTGACAGTCATGGACAATGACTCCCAAATACATCTGCTCTGTAGCTGTCTGCAGTCTTTATCCATTCAAATAATATTCATCTCCTCTATTCTTCTTGCCAAAGTGCACAATCTTACATTTTCCCCACAATATATTCAATCTGCCAAGTTTTTGCCCATTCACTTATCCTTCTGCATACTTCCTTCCCACCTATTTTTGTGTCATCCACAAACTTGGTTATAATACATTCATTTTCCTCATCCAAGTCACATATATTAAAATAGCTGGAGCTGCTGTGGCCCTCTCTACAACCCCAGTTATTTGATTCACCACACACTGGTCCCAGCATCAGTACTGTATCTCTAAAATGTCTAAAGACATGAGCTGCACAACAGATATCATTTTAAACTTTGAAATGATAAAATGAACTATCATTTTTTAACCTACTCCAAATGCAGCAGTTGCAGTCATCATTCAAAATCCATCTCCACCATACAGAGAAGGGCAAATGAGAAGGCCACAGGAAGCAAAAATCCATACCATTTCAATTCACCAAAGGAATCTTCTATGCACTTTAGCCTTGTCATTAGGGATGAGTGGTTTAGCTGTATTTGTACTTGCTTCTGCCTCCTAACCTCCAAAGTAAAGTGCAGATGAAAAAGTGTTTCTTTTGAACATATATCCAGATGATGCACATCTTTTTGGAATAAGGTTAATTAAGTACGATACATTTAACCTCCAAGCGTTAAGGGAAATCATTTTCATGGGAATACACTACTGAATACTCAACAGTGGGTTTCTTAGAAATGGAAGTACCGCTGAAACATCAAATTATTCCAATACAAACTGTGCTTACCTTCAGGAATGACAGAAATGTTGTTTGAATGTAAGTATCTAGAAGAGAAAGAGTTGTATTTTAATTTAGAGAATGACAAATAGTGATTACTTACATGGATTAAGAGACCAGATTGTCATTGAGTGAATGCTTAAAAGGTTATTATAATTTGCAATTTTGATCACATTGGAGTAAATGGGAACTTGATGCAAAGAAGAAAAATGGTAACTATAAAAGGTGAATATAAAAGCAAATACAATTATCCAAAAAGCTAAAAATAACTTAGCTTTGTAATTACAGATTTTATCTTTTGATATATATTTGTGCCAGGCGATTACCCAGAAACATTATTTTTGATTCGTGCACTTGGATAAGAATACAATTACTAGTAAGTGTGCTTGGCTGCAGCAGTGTCCACAGACTTCTACACAATGCAGGTATTACAAATTCCCGTAATAACATAGAGTGGAGCTGGAGGAACACAGCAGGTCAGGCAGCATCAGAAGAGCAAGAAGGCCAACGTTTTGGGTCGGGACCTGATTTCTGAAGAAGGGTCCCGAACCGGAACGTCAGCTTTCCTGCTCCTCCAATGCTGCCTGGTCTGCTGTGTTCCTCCAGTTCCACACTGTGTCATCTCTGATTCCAGCATCGGCAGTTCTTACTATCTCTTACAAATTCCTGTACCAGCTAAGATTACCATGAAGGTCCCTCCTTCTCAACTTCTCCCTTTGCTGGTGACCCTCAGGTTAAACCATCAGCAGTTGTCTCTCTAATGAAAGAACAGCCAGAGTCATACAGCACAGAAACAGACTCTTCAGTTCAACTCATCCATCCCGACCAGAAATACTAAACTGATCCACTCCCTTTTGCCATCATTTGGCTCATATCCCTCTAAACTCTTCCTATTCATGTACCCATCCAAATGCCTTTTAAATGTCGTAATTGTACCCACCTCCACCACTTCCTCCAGCTGCTTGTTCCATACACGCACCACTCTCTGCATGTAAACGTTGCTCCTCAGGTCCCTTTTAAATCTTTCCCCAGTCACCTTAAACCTATGCTTGCTACTTTTAAACTCACATACCCTGGGGGCGGCCGCATTATGCTGCATACTGTCTGTTTTTTTCTCATTTGTGGGGATGTGGGTGTCACTGGCTGGCCAGCACTTATTGCCCCATCCCTAGTTGCCTTTGAGAAGGTAGGGGTGAGCTGCCTTCATAAACCCCTGCAGTCCACCTGACCCACAATGCCTCCTGGCTCAGAGGTATGGATTACCATTAAATACGAGAGTCCATCAGGTCTGCTTATAGAAATTTTTAATCAACTTATTCAGAGATGTTATCACACACCACTGGGGCAGGTGGAACTTGACACTGGCCTCCCAGTTGAGAGGTAATGACACTACCACTGCACCACAAGATTTATACCAGGGCGGTTTTATAAAATATTTTCTAATCAACCTGCTCAGAGACGTGACACATGCTGCTGGAGTAGGTGGGACTTGAACCCAGGCCTTCTAGATGAGAGGTGGGGACTCTACCACCGTGGTACAAGACCTAGGAGGTCAGCTTCATAAATATTTTAATCAACCTGTTGAGACATGCTATTACACACCTCTGGAGCAGGTGAGATTTGAACCAAGGGCTCCTGGTACAGAGGTAAGGACACTACCATTGTGATATAAGAGCCCTCAGGGTCTTCTTTATAGACATATTTAAATCAACCTGGGCAGAGTTGTTATTTAACACCTCTGAAGCAGGTGGGACTTGAACCCAGACCTCGTGGTCCAGCAGTAGAGAATCTACCACTGTACTATCAGGGCCTTTTTGGGGTCTATGATCCATGTATTTTATAATCAACCTGTTCAGAGAATTTGCTTCATACTTCTGGAGCAGGTGAGATCTGAACCCAGGCCTCTGGGTCAGCGGTTGCGATATTACCATTGCACCACAAGATCCAGGGTCTGCTTTATAGATATTTTCTGATCAACCTACTTAGAGGTATTCTTACACACCTCTGAAACAGCCTAAACTTCAATCCAGGCCTCTTGGCTCAGAGGTATAAATACTGTGTACCACATCGCTGTTTCTGCTCTTTTTTTATGAACTGGGTGGGAAGGGGGTCTTCTGGTATGTTAAACAAATGTGATAATCTCTACATTATGCAAACAACGGGAGGATCTGCTCAGCTGATGAGTTCCAGCTGGGTAGGCCATTGCCTGTTACCAAGGCAACTCATACTCAACAAGCTCCATGAGGAGATTAA